GGCTTCTTCTTTCCAATTGCTTAAATTGGAAAATTTACTGTGATGATCATTCTTCACTTTCATCTACAGCCGCAGTTCAAATATGAATTATTTCATATATATGCCACAAAAACTGATGTCATTAGCCACTTTTTTACAGAAGTTAGCTAAAAAGTTATTTTGAGTCTGAAATTTTACTTATTACATGTGTATATTCTGGTGTTGAAATAACTCATTTGTTTTGTCTCAAAGCTCATTGTCAAGTGTTTCTCCCCCTGATATTTGGTATCGCCTGAAGCTTCCCCAAGAAGTGATAGACAGCTGCCAGTTATCTGCACTGCAACTGGAAGCCGTTACTTATGCTTGTCAGCAGCATGAGACATTCTTAGCAGATGGGAGAAGAGCAGGATTTTTGATAGGTAACAATCATGTTCTAGAGTGAGGCGTTGCAAGGCAAATGGGGGCTCTCAGGTTAAAGGAGAACTTAAGTGATACGGTATTACATGATGAAGAACTAGGCTAGGGCTCATAGGCAGAGCCTCGCCAATGAGCAATAGCAGATTTGCCTGTTGTCGTCATTTGACTACAACAACCAGAATCCCTTTCATTTTATCTTTATCATTTAAATTTTGAATTCCCAGTGGGGTTTAACTAACAATTGCCCTAATTAGCACATAAGAGACAGAATAGGTTAAGGATTTTAGTAGTTGTAGTCGAATGACTCCAGAATGCAATTCACCTGTTAATGGATCATGCATATATTTATACTGCCATTGGACAGCATCCAATATCTCATAGTACACAGGACAAAACTGTTGTGGATCAACACTCTCCAACAAAAAAATAAAACAAGGAATGAAACCCAAATAATCTTTTGATTGTTTTAAACTTTATTAAATTCCACACATCAAAAGCTATATTTTTGTAGATCATACAAGAAAGCCTCGCATTACAGTGTGTCCAAATTTGCTAACTGAATAACAAAAGTATGGTAAATCATGTGTATGTACACCAAACCTTAAATAATGAATGGTATCTTTACAGGTGATGGTGCTGGTGTTGGCAAAGGGAGAACAGTGGCTGGTAAATGTTTATGATAACTTAGGGATGTAATCCTTGTAGCTGGTATAATTTATACTTAATAAAAATAATTTAGAAACTATGTGCACTGGTGTTAGTCAAAAACCTGTGGAGGCAGGGCTATGCAGGACGAAGAATTGACAAGGGTTTGTCTAATACCGTAAATAGAATGTCTGGTTCTTAAAAATGATCACAATGCAAACAACTCACTGAGGGTCAACTATTAATTAAAAATAAATTTTTCTGTGGACTGGAGCTAGTATGTGTGAAGGAACTTGAAAAAGAAAAAGAAAAAAAACAAAAGAAAACAAAAGAAAACAAAAGCACAGAACAAAATAGCAGGAAGGGTCATAATAAACAGCTTCCAGTTTCAGTGGGTGACATAACATGAACAACATGAATATCTCTTCCTTCAAGATTTACTCTGAAACCTTATCTGCAAGGAAAAGAAGGACAACAAATTTGTTGCAAAATGACTTATTAAGTCTAAATAGTTGGATGGCATTTGATGACTTTGTTTCATTTGATTTTACTCTTGACTCAAATTGACATTTTAAACACCTGGGGCACTTTTAAGCTTTATAGGCTTCTTGTTCCTGTCTTGGTACTTGTGTGGCAATGTTACAGACCATAGTGTTGTAGAACTTCAGTGTGTGATGTCACTTAAGTGTCGTTGATTGTAAGCAGATATAGCAAGTGCAGTTGGATTATTAACAATAATTATTCCATCAGCCCATGTTGGATATGAGGTGATAAATTATAGTAAGTTAGGCTTGTAGACAAGCAGTTCATTGAATTATCTGAGGTTGAAAATTTAATGGTGATATTATTAAATAATTATTGGGCTAAACTGAGAGTTATCTCATAACTGTTATGCTCTTTTAGGAGTCATCTATGAAAATTATTTACTTGGAAGGAAGAGAGCCCTTTGGTATGTACTTGAAAGTACTTACATGGAGAAGTTTTCTTATTCTTATTTCTTATTTCTTCACAGTACCAGGCAAATGTAAGTTGACTCTCGATACTCACAAGAATTGAGTATCAAATAGTGAGAACTGATTCACTTGAAGTTCGACGCAACTCATTTATGTTATTTGAACTCGCACTAGCGAGAGAACTTACAAATGCTTAATCGAACTCACTCCTGAATATCTCAGCAGGAAATTTTTTTTATCAAGTGTTCTAACATTCATATCCGTGACACTCGGATGTGTGACACGCTACATATATCTCTACATAATACTGCCACCGCCCAATGCACCTTCACGTCTAGGACGACTAATATCTGGAATAGCTTAGATAAAGTCACTAAGGAAATCCCTAAAGACATTAAAGCTGCTCTAAAAAAATGGCTTCAAAGCCTTAATTGACTTACTGTTTTATATCAGGACATTTTGATAGCGTTTTTTGTACTGGAGAACATTTTTTCTTGTTATCATTATCATTGTAAATAGTTTCTGAAACACCTTTGAGAGGATGCATCTATTAAAGTTTATTATTATTATAATAATATACATGAAAAAATTACTTGATTCTGATTGGCTGAGAGCAGTGCAGTTCAAGTGTAACACCATTGCAAAAAGTGTAACACTAGTGCAAATTACACATTGTAATTCTGGATTACCATTGGCTGAAAGACAATAGGAAATGTATTAAGCCAATGATATCACGTAAATTGATATCGAAAATTTTGTGCAGAAACTTTGAAAAAAGTTTTCTCTAATGAAAAAAATGGCTTCAAGAAAGATTTTCTGGCACTACCTCCGTGTGAAGTTTTTCATGTTTATATTAATAAGTAATCGTATGGTTTTTCTTGTTTAATTTCCTATTGTCTCTTTCTCCTCCTCTTGTGGATTTTTCAAAAAGCTGAAATTGCACTCGCAGAAGCGGCTCATGCAATTTCAACTTTTTAAAAACTCACTTGGCAAATTAATTCCAAATTGAACTTGAAACCGTATGATTACCTATACTTATTGCTATTATTAATGCACATGCTGCTGTGAAGTGAAGGCAAGTCAGATTAGATCAGACTTATCTCTCAACACAAGGAAAAAATAGTGATTTCTCTGTTTGTCTCTTATGTTGCCACCATTTTAATCAACTTCTTAAACTTCAGTGCATGTTTCATTCAAAGATAAAGTTCAAGCTTGATTCCATTTGGCTCTCCTTCCTAATGAGCTCCAAGGAAGGAGTAACCATTACCAAATGCAAACCATGTGTAATGTACTCGGGAGAAGTATCAGGAGAAGTATCTAGTATCGTGTCTCGATTCTTGTCTCAACATACATTTGCCTACCACTGCACTTACTTTTATTATTTTTTTGTCAATGTTTTCTCCAGTAATCATTTATAAAGTTAATACAGAACTAATAGTGTCAGTGAATTCAACTAGGATTTTGTCCCCGGTCACCAAGATCTTCTTTTGAAGAGAGGGGCTATTGCTAGAGCATATACAATTCTAATTGCTTTTGTTGCTCAGATTTTGATATGCTCTTTGGTGTTGACAGTTTGAATGAGTTCATTTTATATGCAAGTAACTTTTCTTGATAGGTTGAGTGTTTCTAACGATTTGAAATACGATGCCGTCAGGTAAGATGTTATTTTATTTAGCCTAAGTAGGTCTGGAAAAAATACTTTTAGTTAGGTTACTAGAGGTGTTTATTTCACATGATTTGAGGGACACAAACATGGCAACTCCATACAAAGCTCTCTAAATTTGAGTGAAACTCTTTTCCAAATAATGTGCGAATGAAAAACTGCGTAGACCTAGAGGTTGTTTATATATCAATCATCTCTCATATCCCAGTGTCTTGACTTTATTTATTGAATGGTTACAATTTTTATTTTTGATGGCATGACACAGCAAACCAGCCATGCTAGTTTTCTTTTATCCTAAAATAAATGTATTTAATTAAAGGGCATATAATTATTAGTTAACTAAATTTTGCCCTTTCCACTTCTTTTTCACTGCACTTATTTGTTAACAATATTGTATTCGAAAGTGAAGAATGATCATCGCAGTAAATTTTCCAATTTAAGCAATTGGAAAGAAGAAGCCTGGAAAGAAGAAGCCTGAAAAAATCAGGGCTTCAACGGGATTCGAACCCGTGACCTCCGCGATACCGGTGCGATGCTCTACCAACTGAGCTATGAAGCCACACATTGGGAGCGAGGTCAATTAATTGAGTTCATATCTTCCCG